GAACTTCCTACCAAATCTGATGACTTGAGACTGATCCCTGGAACTCACATAGTGGAAGAACTGACACCAAGTTTTCTGCTGACCTTCACTCATATACCATATATAAGCACACACAAAATGAATGCAAATTTAAATTTATTATAATTCCTTGTGGGGCTGGAGAGATGGCTCAGTGGTTAAGAGCCCTGGCTGCTCTTCCAAAGGTCCAGAGTTCAATTCCCAGCAACAGATGGTAGCTCACAACCATCTGTAATGAGATCTGGCGCCCTCCTCTGGCGTGTGGGCATACATGGAGGCAGACCATTGTATACATAATAAATAAATCTTTAAAAAAATTTTCTTGTAAAGTAGATCTTGACTTGCATGTTTACTTTATATAAGGGCCCTGAGCATTTATGGATTTGGTGTGGACAGGTGTATTTACATTAATCCTCATGGATACAGAGGGACAACTGTATATGCAGTTCATTACCAAGATGGCTAAAAACTTAAGTTTCTTCATTTCTTGTAGTTTCTTTTTAAAATGTATGTGTATGCATCAGAGTGTATGCATGTGCACCACACAAATACAGGAACCAGAGATTGGAAATCAGATCCCTTGGGACTGGAGTTACAGAGAGTTGTGGGCTGCCATGCAAGTGCTGGAAATTGAACCTGGGTCTTCTATAGTAGTCAGTGCTCTGAACTGCTGGGCCGCTCTCTACAGCCCACTCCTTGTAGTTCTTATACTGTCACTTTGGAGTTGAATAAAGTCTGCTGAGATATAAACATTCAGATACTTCACTTTAAGAAGCTAAAGAGATTAAATGAAAGTTACAGGTAATCTTTCAGTGGTTTCAAATAAATACGAAATAAAAAACTTTAAAGGAGAAAAAAAAGTCAAGGAGAGCCTATCTTTGTGAAAAGACACACATAGATGAAGGAAAGATGGGTCAAGAAGAGCATCTTGCAGACCAACTACTTGAATTTGATACCAAAAGCTTGCCAGTAGTATTCTGAGATTATCTGTAGGTTAAGATACACAGGAAAGCTGGTAGGAGTTTATCACAATCAAAATTTCAACAATTACCTAACCACTATATTTCAATGTTTTCTTTTAAGGTATATGTCACCTGCTAAACTTGGAGAAGTAGTAGTGATCACAGCACACATTCTGAAGCAAGGAAAAACACTTGCATTTGCCTCGGTGGATCTGACCAACAAGACCACAGGAAAACTAATAGCACAAGGCAGACATACTAAACACCTGGGAAACTGAGGGAACAAACAGCAGGCCCAACGAAGCCCAACAATGAATGAGTATAACTTTCTGAAATAAATGTCAAAACCAGAAGTAGCTAAGTGTTTTCTTTGGGGTACAGAAACTAAAACCAATATATAGTATGAAGGTTGGGGTTTTTTGTTGTTTTTGCTTTTCTTTCTTTCCCAGAGTCTCTGGCTATCCTGGTACTATGTAGACCAGGCTGACCTCGAACTCAGAGACCCACCTTCCTTTGCTTCTCTGGTGCTATGATTAATGTGCCACAAGTCCAGCTGGGATATCTTTTGAAACATCTTTAAGTCAGATGCATGATCATTGCATAAAAGCGTTCTTGGCTCAATGTTTTGGTGTTTTGAGGTTTGCTTTTCGTCACCCAGGATAACCTTGAACTCACAATTTTCTGCTTCAGCCTCCTGAATGCTGGGAGTATAGGTAGGTATGTTCCACCTTGCCTAATTAGTTTTATTCACTGTTTTTCTAACAGGTAAAGCAAAGAAGCTAGAAGACCTACTTTAATATTACTCTATAACTGGCGCCTAGTATTAAAGGAGAAAGATGAGTTGATAGACGTTAGTCAGTCTGACAGACTGGACAACAAATAAACCTTAGAAATGACTTGTCAACTTCCACTACACTTTTCCGTGGGGCTACTTCTTAGTTCAGATAGTCTCTTCACATGGCAAAGGGGGACAAGAATTAGAACACACAAAAAAAGGCTCCCCACCTCCAGAAACCATTAGCTGAGAGCTCAGTTTAAGGAGACATGTCAACATAGCAATAATCAATGAAATTTTAGGCCTTTCCCAGCTCTAAAATGCTGTGTCACATTTCCATTTACTTTATGAGACATGATTTCCAATGTGGATATACTACAACCATACTAGGAAATGAAGAGCCTGTAATATGTCGCCTAAGTTTGAAATGAAGCCCCTGACACTAGAAATAGCCTAAGTACCTTTCTATGCTGATCTTGTGTATCTGGACCTACTACTATCTTTTGAATAGAGAGGACATATCATGAGCCCCTTTGTCTCCCAGCCTACTGTACTATATTCAAGTTAGCAAATTACTGCATTTCTCAAAGGTCTCAAAAATTAGAGGACGCTTGCTTTCTTCATTTTTTAGGAATCAAAACTAGAGTGGACTTGAAACATCTGAGTCAATAGTTGTGTTAGATACCAGATCTCTAGACTCCAGCTGTGAACAAATAGGAAACCTAGATCTTGATTTCTATCCTTTCCTACTAAAAGGACCTATACTCCTTGTAGGAGCTGGGTCCAGAGCTGGAGGCTGGTACTCAGAGAGGTGTTATCCATGAAAGTGCTCGAGAAACAGTCTTTCATATGTGACAAGGTTCACAAAATGCTGAGATATACTGAGTGAAATTTGAAAAATCTTTTGCAACCATCAAGATTAGTTGGGGCTGGAAACAGCGTAACAAGAGCACTGGCTGCTCTTCCAAAAGCCCTGAGTTTGATTCCCAGCACTGGCCTCCATGGGCATTGCATGGATATAATACACACACACATGCAAATACCCATACACAAAAAAGCTGAAGTATTTTTTACAAAAGATTGGCTTGGTTGGTTAGGCACTAAGATTCATTGTAACTTAAGGGGGGCGGATATTTTCATATTGTTTGCCATCAGTGACTAGCAATAAGCACATAGTACAGAAACCAAAGTTAGCTTTAAGGAGCAGATGGCATGTGCTTCTGAATATTAACCTGAAGCGTACAAAGTCAAACCACAGAAAAACTGAATTTTTTGAGGTAGTTGGAAGCTTGGTAATGGTACTATAAGATATTGTAATCAGATAAATAAATAAAGGGAGGACCTTGGATGCTCCACAAAGCAAAGTGCCTTACCCTCTCTTAGGATTAGAGGGAGGTGGGGTGGGAGGGTATGTGGAGGGAATGGGAGAAGGGGGGGTGGGGGTGGGAATTGGGATTGGTATCTTTTTTTTTAATGATATTTGTAACCAAGAACACTGTCGTCGCCCCCCCCAAATCCTGTGCTTATTTGTAACATTAGCCTAAGTATAAAAGGGCAAAAAATTAAATCGTGTGCAAAAATGCAATGGCTGGGTAAATATTTACAAATATACAAAGAAAAAAATACATGCCAAAATGCTAAAATCTTAATGTGTTACACCAGAACATCTTATATGGTCTTTGCCAACTTATCAAAATTATTCTGAGATATCTATGAAACAAAAGCAAAAGGCAGGGAACTACTGAAGCCGACCATCTGTGTCTTAGGTTCTTGTTCAAGTTAGAACTGCCAGTTCTTTTTCTTTCTAAATAAACAAACCTGAATTGACCAAACACGTGAGATAAAAAAAAAGTTAACACTGCAAGTTTTATATATTCATCTGAATAGCCAGGAAGCTTTCACCTATTTTATTTAGGTTTCATTTCCCTCCCACCCCAAATTCCAACCAGAAGCTAAATACAAATGGAAACCAGTAAGCACTAGTTTTACTCCAATGGAGTAGGATCATTCTGATTTACTCCAATAAAAGTATGCAACCCTTAAGCAAAGCTTTTCTTCATTTAAAAGAAAAACAAAAAAAATAAAAATAAAAAAGCTATACAGTAGTCTTTCCTTATGTTCATTGCACAAACAAGTTCTGCTTTCAGAACTCTTGACACTCTGGTTATTTTTACAATGTAAGATCCCCACTTTTAATTTTGTTTTCTATTCCAAACACTCAACTTCTTTAGAATGGTGTAGAAACCAGTATTTCTGCAAAATTCACTGGATTTTTATTTGTAATTAAATTTTCTAACACCAAAACAAAAACCAAAAAGTCCTCTACTTATGATGGTTTTTGCAGCTATGAATGTTCCTTGGTTTTATAGCTGCATTTAGCCACGCCAGACTCCAGATCTGCTTTAATGTGTATAAATGCATCTGCACACAGCAGAGTACTCTATAACAGCAACTCGGGGAAAGAGATCTGGGAAAAAAAAATACATGTACTAATGAGTATCAAGAAAACAAACATGGCCCAGTGCACACGAGGCAGAAATAACCTCAATGAGATGCTTTTTTCATTAAGATTTCTTTCCCATGGTTGTAATTTCTTTTTGTAACAACCATTCTGGTCATTAGAATGAATCTGACAGTGCTCTGGAACGACGGTGATTATAGCAAAGCTATTAAGTTTTTAAATGTTATTTATACCTGTTACATTCACTCTCACCCTCAATACTGATGACAGATGTCAGAGGCAAAAACCAGCACAAACATGAAGACCACAACACTGAGCATCACCTGTGCTTTCAGATACATTAAGCATTTCAGTGTACAATAGTCCTTCCTTCACATTTTAGTAAGATGCCGATGCAGTGCAGCAATCTGCAAAGCATCTTCTTTCACACAGTCCGTGCAGAAGACATCTAATTTTTTTTTAAAGTTCTGTGATACAAATGATTAAAATAAATCCAGGATGAACAAGTTTCAAAATGCATAGTGTTCTGTGCATGAGTCCATTTTCTTTAAACTCTGAAAGAAAAGTGGTAAGAAAACAAGAAAAGAAAATCGCTGCTGCATTCTCTGGTCTTCTCCATTTTGCTGGTCAATGCTCTTATTTACTCTGGCATATAAGGACGGAGGTGATCCTCTATGGTGCCAACTGCCCAGTGGGTGAGCTGTTCCTGTGGCAGGTAGAGGCAGATGCTGCATAACTTGAAGATGGTGGCTTTGTTTTTTGGAGTCTAGAAGGAAATACATTTTTAGTAATTTTAATAGTTTTTTAAATTGTCAGCCCCTCACAATTTAAGGCCTATGTCACACTACTATAAAGTATACATAGCAAGAGATTTGTGATTTCCTATCCAGGCAGGATATGGGAGAAAATAAGAGAAGCCTGAAATAAATACATAGAGAATTTATGCATTAAAACACTGGGAAAGTCAATATAACTGTATTGTGCCCTGACCTCTAGCTCTAGAACCAGTTTCTACAACAAAGAACAAACAAGGTTCCCTTTAGTGGGAAAGAAAACAAGATCTGGGTTTCCTATCTGCTCTCAGATGGGAAGCGTGCAGATCTGTGTCCAAACAACTACCTTTTTTTTTAATTTTTAAAAATTATGAGACAACCAACTAACTTTTAACTTGATACGCTTCCAAGTTTATTAAAGTTGCTTTGTCCTTCTATTCTTGATGGTCACTAACCCTGTTTTTTTGTTTGCTTGTTTTTTTTCCAGACAGGGTTTCTCTGTAGCTTTGAAACCTAGAACTTACTCTGTATGCCAAGCTGGCCCTGGAACTCATAAAGATCTGCCTATCTCTGCCTCCAAGTGCTGGGATTAAAGGTATGTGTCACCACCACCCAGGTTAAAACCCCCGATTTTGAAATTAAGTAAGAGTTCTGAACGTTTTAAGAGCTTTGAGAAATGCACCAACTTGTTGACCGAATCTCTTTTATACAGTAGATATTGAGAAACTGAAAGGTACTCGCAATATGCTTTCAATTGAATCATAGGCCTTAAACATGCTAGACCAAGTTTCATTTAAAATGTAACAGAAACATAAGGAAGGAAGCTAGTGTGGTGGGGTATAACACTCAAGAAGCAGAGGCAGGCAGATCTCTGTGAGTTAGAGGCAACCTGTCTCAGAAACAGAAAATGTCACAAAAATCAAGTCACAATAACTTTATGAGTAGGATTTGTGCAATTTAACACCAGGCAGAAGCACATTCTCTAAAGCCAAGAGGTACTAAGAACATCTACCCATCCACCCTAGGGAGACCTATGTCATAGATCTGAGGCACACAGTTGCACTGAATGTCTTTCAGCACTCTTTAAATGTCTGCGTTCCCTACCTTGAGTATGTCTTGCTCTTGATAAATAACAGCCCTAGACGATCCTCACACTTTTCAGCCTGATTTTTTTTTTTAACTGCAGAATGCCTACTTTGATAAATACCTGGATTGCCACTCAAGTGAGTAATAGTTTTTCTGTTTTGTTTTGTTTCTTAAGATTCACATTTAAGTGGTCTGCTAGTCCTGGGGATAGTTCAGTCAGTCAAGTGCTTGCTAGAGCAAGCACGAGGATCTCAGTGG